AAATCTGAATGATCTGAAATTTGGAGAGTATATTCATCAAAAATAAGAGAATATTCAAAAATTATAAAAAAAATATTTTACATTAAAAAAATTGACCAAAATACCTCTGAAAAGTTTTAAGGGTATTTTGATCAATTTATTTGTGGATGCTTTTTTTTTATATTTTCATTAGATGCACCTTAGTAAGATGTACATACTCCCCAAATTTCAGATCATTCCGATTTGTAAAAAAAAAATGAAAAATAAAACACTACCGGACAATCGTGACCGCGAAATAAAATTTGGAGGGTGACAAGGGTAGACGAACTCACTATTCATTTTTGTTTATAAGCATTAGAAATACTTTTCCATATATATACATATATAGCATAAACTCTATCTATGAAAGCTTCAACAATATGTGTAGGTGCAAATACATAATCCACAACCAATGATACTTTTGACAAATTAATTTTTAAAGAACATTCTTTAAAATATAAGAATAATTTTTATAACATTTCATGGAAACTTAAATATTGTATTTATGACAATAAAAAACAAAAAAAAAAAAAAATTGCCATATGGGCCTTGGGGTTCATAAGAATATAAAAAAAAATCTCAGAAATAAAAAACTATAATAAATACAAGTTATATTTTGTTACTCCATATTATTGTCATTAGCGGAATTTTCGAACACTGGTAAATATGAATAAAGGCACAAAATTTTTAAAACATTATCTAGGACTTTGTTAAAAAATTCTTCAATATAAGTTATTCCCAATTTTCATGTTCATGAAAAATTATTAAAAAAACTAATAGAAGTTCTCAAAATTAAGAAAGAAACAAACTTACTAGATAAAGTATATTTCTTATCAATTATTTTGGTGTTAAAGTATTATTACTTTGTATAACAATTATATTTCGAAACATGTATCTCATTTCCTAATTTTCCAAAGAGCACACTCAATTTTTAAATTATTAATAAATTTTTATTTAAAATTTGCAAATTACTCATAATGAATTCCAAATCATAAAAATCAATTAAGTACATATATTTCTTTAACATCAAAGCTAACATCTATTTAAAGTACGAGTAATGATCCTATAAGACCATTCTCCACCCATGTGTGTAGGACCCCAAAGGATCACCATTAAAGTATTACGATTAAGAACTAAAAAATTTGTATAACAAAATTAAAAAAAAAAAAAATTAACAACTACATAAATAGTTCAAGAGATTCAGCATATATTTCAAATAAAATAATGAACATTGAAGCAAGATAAGAATGAATAATACATTACCTTTCTCGGAACATTAAGAGAGGGATCCAGATGAATTCATTCCTGTTCTTTATGAACTCCTGTACTTTATTCCGAGAAACTGGTTTGAGATGGGGAAGCAGCTTACATGTAGAGAGAGAAAGAAGCTCGTTCGTTTTTAGAGAGAGATAGAAGCTCGTTTTTAGGGAGATAAAGAGAGAAAGAAGCTAATTTTTAGGGAAAGAGAGAGAAAGAAGCTCATTTTCAGGGAGAGATAGAGAGAGAAAGAAGCTCGTTTTTAGGGAGATAGGGAAGGGCGAAGCAGGTTATGGCTAAGGGGAGAAAGATTTATTGCCATATTTAAAGATCCTAAAAACAATGTTTTTTTTTTCCAAGTTTATATCATATCTTTATAGCAAATTAAATAGAATAACCAACATCTTTTGCCCTAGAATCTAGGGTTTTTTTTTAGAAATGTAGTTATCTTTTCTCAAGAATTTTGATTTTTTTTTTTCTTTAATATGGAAAATATTTTTGTATTATAGAATGTTTATTTCAATAAATAATAGAATCTCCTTTATCCAAAAATTATATCTCTATCTCAAATTTAGAAAACGTAATCTTAAATCTTATCTTAATCATAATCCTTTTGTGAGATATATGTATTTTTTTATATTGGTATGGGAAAATGACATATGCCCCTTTTTTTTTTTGTATTTCCTGTCCCTTGAAAACCCTCAAGCTCACAGAAAGCCTGAGGA